AATTTAGAATGGGTCAAGCTATGGGGAATCTGGAGCGTATCAGCCTACCCAATCTGAAGGTGACAGACTGAAACATGCTCGTAGGGCTATGGCTGCAGCTAGTAAGTTTGCGATGGCAAATTCTGCCGAGGAAACGGTTTAAGTTTTGGCTTTTATTTTCTAGCAGGCGGAGAGTGTCCAAATCATAAAGTCAAGAAGGAACCAGAACCTGAGGCTTGTAGTGGATGTCCAGTGGAAGGTGGTTCTATCAATCCTATGAACAATGCAAGTTTTTGTGACTTACTTCATTGGCGGTATCTGAGAATTTTCCTTTCAGGAGTTGGAACATCCCAATCAAAAGCCGGCACCCGATCAGCCGTTCCCGTTGCCTAAAGAGCGAGAAAAATCTACTATTCCTAGGGTAGGTGGCTATAAAAAGTAGCTCAGTCAAGAGTGCTGATTTTTACTACCGCTATTTTTATTTGCAGGCTGGAACTACGGAAACCTGGACATACCCGAGCCCTCAGATGTTCTGGAACGCTATGTTGAAGTGAGCTTTTTCTAATCATTTGATTTCTCCTTTGATGCCTTCCAAAGATCAATGATTTTATATTTCCCTCGATTGAATACTCGATGTGCGCGGATTATGTACATTATCTTTATCACTCCATTATCAAGTTTTTTAAGAAAAGGCTGGCGTTGGCAAGAGGACCAGCTCTCAGAAAAAGATATGGAAAACATTATTCGCATACATAATGCAAATAATGAGGAAGCATGGCGTGAGGTGCTAAAGTGGGAAAATCTGCTGCATCCGTAAGCTCTTAATATTCGCGGTTTGCACGTTCTTGAGATGACTGTTAGAATTTTGTCTTTAGGGAGTGTGCAGAACCAAAATTGAAAAGTTTCAAAGGAGATGCCAAAAAGATCACTCCTCGAGCTCGATTCCGCAACATATTCTTAGGATATGAACTTCCATTTGACCGACATGATTGGGTTGTCGATAGATGTGGAATCAAGGAGGTAGGTGTAAATCAATGATTGTCTATAAGATTGGCGAGAATCAACTTGATAGGGATATGTAATCCATGCGAATTTGGCTCCTTTTTTT